TTAAAACAATCGCAGTCGTGTTGTATTAACAAACATTCACCCCCCCAAACCCAAAACCCTCTCTGTGGAGCTCAGGTGTCCCAACAGCCTCAGAGCCTTCCCCCCACCCTCTCACCCCCGCCGCAGGTCAGCGAGCTGGGCTAAGCCCTTCTGACAAATTTTTCCATTATTTGGTCGCTCCCAGCACTCAGAGGTTGGCCAGCTGGTATCTCCTCACCATCCCGTCCCTGCAGCACGTGTACACCTGCCGCTCCCAGGAGGCCGCCTGGAAAACAGGGTGGGGGGGGAAAAAAACCAATCAGTATTTGACATTTCAAAGTAAAATGCTCCGAGATCAGCTTCGCTTTGGGGTGTACGGAGGGAGGAGGAGGCGAGTGGCCCCAGCACAGCACCAGCAGAGAGATCGAGGCTCCCTCAGGAGCTCAGGGCGCAGGTGAGGGTTCTTCCCCGAGCTTCCAAAGGGAAAATCTGCCAGAAAGCCTTGGGGGAAACGTTTGGGAAATGTTTCCCTGTGTGGGGGGTGAAGCAGTGGCCCAGGTTGCCCAGAGAAGCTGTGGATGCCCCATCCCTGGAGGGGTTCAAGGCCAGGCTGGATGAGGCTTTGGGCAACCTGGGCTAGTGGGAGGTGTCCCTGCCCATGGCAGGGGGTGGCACTGGATGGGCTTTAAGGTTCCTTCCCACCCAAACCCTTCTGTGATTCTATGAAGAACAGTGGAGACACAGAAAGAGCAATCAAACATTGGAACAGGCTGCCCAGGGCAGTGGTGGAGTCACCATCCCTGGAGGGGTCAGGAAACGTGTAGATGTGGTGCTTGGGGACGTGGGTTAGTGGGTTGGGTGGGGTTGATGGTTGGACTTGATGATCCTTGAGGTCTTTTCCAACCTTCATGATTCTATGAATTTTTTTTTTCCACTTTTCTCATGTGTTGCTCACACCAATGAGTCGTGCAGCTCAAACCTCACTCTCCCTGCAAGGCTGAGTGTTGCCCTTGAGGCCGTGTGGTGGTCAGGAGAGGGGGAACTGGACGGCAGAGCTGGAACGGGTTGAAACCAAAAGCTCATTTCCACCAGGTTGAGCACCCAGGGAACCCAGGTCGCACACCCCAAACTCTGCAAGTGCAGTGGGGCGGCTGTAACAGAGCAGCAAGACCCACTTTCTGGTCTGGAGTGACCAGGGGGACAAAAGCAGACAGGCAGTGCTGTGCAGCCGGCTGCTGCTTTCACCCCAACGATCCTCCGACAACAATTAATTCATGTTTCTCTACAGAAACACCGTTCTGCCTGAGCTACTCCAACAACCAAGCTCCTCCACTGCTTCAGTTTTACTCCTGCATGATGGAGACAAGGCCACCACATACCCACAGAGGGTTTGTGCAATATTAAGATTATTCAGGTAGGGAAAAAAAAAAAGGGTGGAGGAACCTTCTGTGTGTCTGCCAAATCCTGAGATAAAGGCAGGTGCCTGTTTCCTGGCGTCACCCGTCCCTACACCCTTTATTTTGGGCGATTCACCGTGTTCCTTACCTTGTACACAGGGTCACAGTCAGCTTCCGTGAGATCCAGGATATAATCAAGGTCTTGCTGAACTATGAAACAGGTTCCGTCACCTACACAAGCAGGGGAGATAGCAGGTAAGGAAGGAACACCGGCCAATTAGTGAAATAAGCCATGCTCTTAATTACACATAGCACTAACAGGTGCATCAGAAACACCTGATCACTGGGTATGGATGCCCAGGAAAAGTGCTGCGAGGATGTCAGAAAAATGGGAAAAGGCCCTAAGCACTGTCAGGCAACTTAGAAGCGCTTGTTTTGGAGCAACACAGGAAAAAAAAAATAAATCACAAGGCAAAAAGCAGCCATGTAATAGAGCTCCTACGTGTGTTGGCCATGGACAGTGTCCTGGTTTGGGCTGGGACAGAGTGAACTCTCTCCCTAGCAGCTGGTGTGAGGCTGTGTTGGGGTTTGTGCTGAGGAGAAGCTGATCGCACACTGATGGGCAGAGCTGCTGCCACGACAGTCAAGGACTTTCCAGCTTCTCTCTGCTGTGCCCGTGTCTGCAGGGGCAGGAGGAGCTGGGAGGGAGCACAGCCCCAGTGACCAGCCCAGGATCTGACCTCAGGTTTAGGACTGAGACCCAAACTGGCCAACGATCTACTCCATATCATGCCCGGCACGACCCAGTATAGAGGTGAGGTTCTGCCTGGAAATTTTCTCTCTGTCTGGGTCATCTCTCTCTGGGTTGCCCTTCTTTTGGGGTCATTCACTCTCTTGGTCAGCTCTTGGCCTCTCAGACACTCAGGTTCTTTTCTCTGTTCTGGGATTGTGGTTTCAGGACTCTCTGCTCTGGGATCATTGGCCAGGAACAGGTTGAGCCTTGGTCATGGGGTGATGAGCAGTGTCACTGTGTGTCACTCCATTGTATATTTGTATATATTACTATTATTATCATCATTATTTTCAATATTATGGTAGTTTGGTTATTAAATTGTTCTGATCTCAACCCACGAGTCTCTTTTCCCTTTTCCCCTTTAATTTTCTTCCCCATCCCGGGGAAGGGGGCGGGTGAGCAAGCGGCTGTTGGGGGATTTTGCTTCCAGTCAGGGCCAAAACCACAACAGACACTCTGCCCAGCCAGCCAGCGCTTACACGTAAGAGGGTAACGCCCAAAGAGCACAAAACTCCTCGATTTGATTACACAATTTCTACTGGCACAAAACAGCACTTGATTTACCTTGGCTTGCAATAAATCCATCTCGGTATGGCAGCAGAGAAAGCACCGGCGCTCCTGATCTATGGATAACCTGGATTGGAGAGCTAGAAAAAGGAGCAGAAACAAGGAACAAGGTTACGGTTGATAGTCAAGAGCCCACTCCAATTTGAGAACACTGAAAGAAGAAAGCAAGCTCATGGTTAATGAGAACATTCAGAACATTGGGACTTGACCAGTGATTAGCAAAAAGTCTGTCCTCTAGAAGCAGTTGGAAGTCAGCACTGGTTTTCCCGCAGGTGTTGCCAAAAGGATGGAAATGGGAGTAATCAGCAGGTGAACATCTCCATAGACGACAGACAGGAATTATCCTCACCAAGACACAAACAAAAGCTTGGAGCTCACCCAGCATGAAAGACTCCTCAGACTTTGGTACCAATCTCTCCTGCCCCAACCCAAAAACACCATCTAGAGCTCGCCTTCGACACTAAAAAACAAACAACTTAGAGCAGCTCCTGCCCTCAGCAACAGCTCCGTCCCAGTCCTGTGCTGGAATGAGGATCAGGGTAAGTGTTGGGATCCTACAAAGACACTTAAGTCTCACCGGTGAAGAAGAGGAAGGAGCTGTGCTTTTGGTGGGAGGAATACTGCTGTTAACAAGTTTTCTGCTAAATCTATCTACGTATATATGTACATAGATTAAATATAATCACACAGACACTGATATATAACAATATGCACAGTACACTAACATAATTTTATATCTATAAATATAAAAAAAGCAATAATCTGCAAGGTAAGGCTATGCCAAGAGCACCCCTGGTCACAGACCAAGACTGAAAAGCTTTTCAGTAACTAAGGAATCTGCACACAGCCTAGAGTCTTTTAGGAGGCACTTCCCAGAGAACATCCCATCAGATCACCAACCTGAGCAAAAGTATTGTCCCTGAGAGAAAGAAAAGGCTGCAAGAGGCTCAGAAGCTCACAGGCCACGGCTTGGGCTGTACCCACCCTCTAGAAGGGGCATTGTCTGCCCCCACCCTCCATCTGGCTCGCTTTCCCAGCCAAAAAACTAGTTGTTGTTTAAATACTTGCAGCCCGAGGCGCTCACTCACTTTGTGTTTCTCACATCCAGCTGATAAATGTTCCCATCCTGAGTCCCTGCGAGGAGATAGGTACTCGAGAGGAATGTACAGCAGTTGAATGCGTCAGATCCCACAAAGAGGAACACCTGAGAATCCAGGAACAAACGCGAGTGTCAGATGAGGACACGGGACACCCAGGAGAAGGAAGCGATAATTTATTTTGAAATCAGTACAGTTGCTTCCATGAGTGATGGCACAAATTGGCAAACCCAGAGCTGGGCTAATAACCCCTCGGCTCTGCTCTGAGACGAGCAGAACAGCGCTCCAGGATCGGTTTTGCCAAATCAGCAGAGACAGCGCAATCACTGAATGCTCCTGGGTCTCCTTTGGAGAATGGATGTGTCACACGGCAACAGCAAAACCGACACTGAGCTCAAACTAATCTTCAAACACCCACGGAGCAGTAAGAGCAGATCTGCACGGCAGGCTGGCAAAAACCACTCCTTCCTCCCAGAGCTGTGAGTTTTTTCAAGGGGAACCTTTTCCATCTCATTGACCAGCTCAGCTCGCTGAGTTTATCTGTTCCACCCAAATTTTACCCTCCACAAACACCACAAGCAGTTCAGTTCAATCTCTGACATCAATGGGAGCTCCTGTCCTGCTGCCCAGGATGGTCCTGATACGATCTTCAGTACCCGAGACCTACCAGCTCCATTTCCCTTTGCTAAAAGAACTGAACTGGTGATCTGAGGTCCCCTTCAGGTGCTCCTTAAAACACCTGCCAGAACAAACAGCAGCTTTACACCTCAGCTGGAGGAGACAGCCCGGAGCTCCTGCTTTCACAATGACACCTACTGGCCACTGTTTAAATTTAAATCTTGTCTTCCCTATACACAGGTTAAATAGTGAGAAATTCTTCTTCCTCAAACCCCTACACGAGGAGGAAGGAGAGGAAGCATCCCTTTGTCCACACCGGCTTTAACCATCCCTCCCAGGCAGGTATTTCTGACAGTCTCAGCCTCCTTACCGGCTGCCTGCTCTGCAGTCCCACTCCTTGAAGCTTCTTGTCTTCTCGAGCCAGTAGTAGGATTTTCCCTTCTGTCCCAATCTCACGTTCACCTGACAAAAGGACAACAGTTAATTCCAGCAGCGGCTACACAACAAATCTTGATGGTACCAAAACCTGACAGTTGGGATCACCCATCCTCAACCTATAGCAACATTCCTCCAGATCCTAAGACACCAGCAAGGCAGGGCAGTAATTAAGGAGACCCGTCTTAATCACTCAAACGGCTTAATAAGGCTCAATTCCTTCTCAGAACCGGAGTGCTCTGTTCTGGTGACATTAATTCCCTTCCCCAGGTGGCACAAAGTCACACAGCAGCAAGCCACACGCTCAGGATTATTGGTGGCAGTTTGGGACAGCGGAATGAAGAAGAATTTTAAGAGAAAAATCCTTACTAGGAGGTTTTTCAGGCGAGCCGAGGTTCAGCGAGTTGTCAGCAGCGCCCACGGCAATGCCATTGACAGGAGAGCCGCAGTCAGCGATGACACCCAGACAGGCAGATTTTCCGCAATCCCAGAGGCGGGCAGTTCCGTCCCTAGAGCAGGACAGGACGTTTCTTCCCCGATCCACTATGGCAGTGTCCAAAATACCTGCGTCAAAGCACAAGACATGGTCAGAAGGCAGACAGAAATCATGTCATTCCCAGAACAAACTCAACTACAAGCCTCAAGCCACTGTCCCCAGAGTGCCACCAGTGACACACAGCCAAATTTTGGGGTGCAACATGGGGCAGGGAGCCACAGCATCTAGAAAGACACATGTGTGTGGAAGGTAGCAGCTCCCAACAAACCATACGGAGCAGGAGCCACCACCTGGCCCAAAGGCAAGATGTTACCGATAAAACAATTGGCCTCAAACTGAGCTGGTACTGCAGCTGCTGCCGAGTTTCTACCTCCATAATTAATCTCTGACTTGGGCAGAAAATATCCTGGTCCAACGCTCTTAAAATATTGATAACTCCAGCTCTGGATAATCCTCAAAGTTGTGTGGGACAAGCAGCATTCACATTATCCAGCTACACCAACACCAAAAGAGCTGTTTTTGCATGCTCCGATGTTCCCTAACGACTTTATTTGACTTTGGGCTGCCGAGGCTAGATGTGAAAAATGAGGCAGCAGTTTTTTGGAAGGGAACAACCGGATGGTTAGAAGATTTAACGGACACTTTCCCAAGTCATTAAATGTGACAAGCTCAAACGACAGGACAAGTTAGGGCTGGAGTTCAAAGAAGCAAATAAAGTCAACTTCAAAGCCATCGGGAGCCAGCCAGCGTTGTTCTAACCGCAGCTCTTTTCCACCACCTGCCACATTTTGTCCACAGGATATTTCATAGAATCACAGAATGGTTTGGGTTGGAAGGGACCTTCAAGATCATCTGAGGCGTTCTGGAAACCAAATCTTCTTTCCAGAGATGAACAGAGGCTCTGTGCAGAAACTTCCTTTGATCACAGCTCTCGGGAGCCTTTCTGGGTAGCGCATTTTCCACCCCTTGCAGATCTTCCCTGTGACTAAGACAGTTGCAGTGTGGACCCTGAGCACAAGGAATGTCACTGAAATCACTGCATAAGGTGGCCAGTGCATCCTTGAGGGCACAAGGAGGGCGAGGAGCTTACTCTTATTCATCAGCAAGACCATCAGCAGGGGCAGAGCCAAACATCTGCCCTCAGTATGAGCATGGGGGGCTGGGCGACAGCCAGCTGAACAGGAGCC